TGTGAGTGTGGGTGTGAGCATGTGTGTGGGTGAGGGGTGGGGGTCGCCCATCTCCGCTGGCGGTGTGAGGTGCCTCCTGCGGCAGCCAGCAGCAGTGACCAGGTGCGGGGGCCGCGGGAGGACCTGCAGAGCCTGGGCACCAGGCCGACTGGGCCTGTGGGCCCTGCCTCCCTCAGGCTCTCTTCTGGGCCCCTGCACTCGGCGCTCCTCTTCCCCCAGCTCTGGGTTCTAGAAGGCATGTACTCCTGTGGGGTGGCGCCGTGCCTGTCAGGTGGGGGTGTGTGCCCCATGGGTGCAGGGGACCCGGCCGCTGTCTGGGAGGAGGGGCTTAGAGCCCCCAGGAGGGGACGGCTCGGGGCTCAGCGTCCTCGTCCTGATGCACCTGGCTCACCTGCCGTCTGGCACACAGAGGTGGCACGCTTACCTGTGAGGGGGAGCTGCTGTCTGTGAGGTGCTGTGGGTTCCAAGTGGCGAGCTGCTCGGGGTCAAACCGGTGGGCCTGGGGGCTTTCCTGTCCCTCCGGGTTTGCAAGGCACGTGTTTGCTGTGGGCTGGCCTGTCCCTCAGGGCCTTTGCCTGTGGGGAGGAGGAGAGGGCAGGCCTCTGTCCCTGCCCTCTGCAGCACCCTTGCCAGGAAGCTCACCCTGAGCCCCCAGGGCCCTGGCACCGGGCACTCCGTGCTGACTGAACACCCCACCCCCACCCGGTTTGCAGCCCAGGTGCAGGCGGCTGAGCAGTGGATGTGAGGGGGTTCACTGCCCCCACCAGCTCCCCTCTGCCCTACTGGGCTGTCCCTTCCGAGGCACTTCGGCTCCGCTTGCTTGGAGCTTGGAGCTGAGGAGGGTGTGGTGGGGCAGGCGCAGTGCATGGATAGGTCTCCTGGCCTGCTGGTGCTCAGGCCCTGACTGCCCCCACTCCCTCCTGCGCCACCCCAAAGTGTGGGGCCTGTGCGTCTGCCCTCTGTCCCATCCTCTAAAAGCCTCCCCTTTGCTCATTGCAAAGGAGACGTGCATGATAGGTGTGACACAGGAGTGCCTGCCCCCACCCCAAAATAACCCTGGACAGAGGGCAGGAACTCTGACTGCAGGCAGGCCCTCCTCCTCACCTGATTCCTGCTCTCCTTCAAAACCCAGTCAGTCGTCCTGCACTGTCTGTGCCCCTGTGGGCCAGGCCCCCTGGGCACCCACAGGCCCCTGCACTCTAGGTGGGCTGTGTGAGGGTGGCCCAGGGAGGCCCCCTGACTGTGTGGTGAATGTGTCCCCAGGGCCACAGTCTTGGGGAGCAGCCGGCTGCCTGTGTAGGTGTCCCAGGCGGAGGCCCTGGTGGCGTTGGAGCGAGCAGCCCTGGGGCCTCCCCGTGGGGAGGGGACAGACCCAGCACCGCCAGGCAGCTTTGAGGTGGCAGGGAGGGGACCCGCGGTCGTCTGGGCTCCCCAGCAGCACTAGTCTGAAGGCCTCTTTCCCAGGAGCTGGGCACGGCAGAAGAACCAGCTTTGGACGGTGGGAACTGGGAAGCTGGTAGCAGTCGAGGCTGTGGGATTTCCCTGGGTGGTAGTTTCGGCCTGGTCCCTAACCCTGGCCTGTCTTGGGGTAGGCGGTGCCTGGCTCGTCCCCCATAACCAGCTCTTTCCTCTCCCCCGCCTCTCAGGACGCACCGGGATTTCCTTGAGGAAGGGGACCCTGGCTGTGTGCCCTCCTTCCCTCGTCTATAAAATTGGGGTAGGGATGCTGAGGATCGGACGAGGCCAGGAGCAGTGTGCACTTCCTGGCGCGCTCTGAGCCTCCGTCTCCGCCTGGTTACAGGTCGCCGTGATTACTCCCGGCAGAGGCCGTGCGCCGAGGTGTGGAGGAGTTAGGCAGTTAGCCTGATGTCCCACCGGCCAGGGAGCCTGGCTCGGCTTCCCGTGCTGGTCACCACCTCTTCAGAGCTGGGACCCACTGGAGCCAGCCTGGGTCACCTGAGGCCAGGCCTCAGTCAACATGAATGCCAATTCTAACCCTAATTCTAACAGCTCCCTCCCAGAGCGAGCTCTCTGTGGGTCAGGCTGCCTACTTTCCGTATACGACCTTCCCATTTTGCCTGACAGGAGGCTGAGGCTGAGATGGAGTGACTCTGACCTCAAAGCCCATAGCTCAGATTAGCCAGGGGTCAACAAAAAACACATGTGTCCACCCTGTGCCCAGCCTTGTGCAGGATTTGAGGATGTGGAGAGGGCTGGGCACTGTTTCTGACCTCAGGCTGTCCATGTGGCAAGACAGGGTGAGAGGCAGATACTTGGGGACATTGCAGAACAATAAGGAGGGCAGGTCCCAGGCTGTGAGTGGGGCAGAGTCGTGTGGGGAAGGGAGAGGGCAGGGGCAGCCTCACAGAGGTGTCACTTGAGCAGGGTTTTGAAGGATGAATAGGAGTTTGCTGCCTGCATGCATGCCCATGTGCGTGTGACTTCTGGCTAGCCTCTTGGGATGCCGTCAGTCTGCACCGGGCCGGAGGTTGGCTGGCGTTCAGGCCAAGCTCCAGGAGGATGGTCCGCAGGTCTTTCAGGGGATTCCAGGTTCTTGCAGGTCTAGAGACGTGTTTTATAGACCTGAACTTTAAGGCCTATGTTATTTTTATTTTCCGGACAAGGCACTCGAGGCTCAGAGAAAAGTAAGGGACCCTTTTCCCAAGCATCTTCTCACTGCCTTGCAGGCCCTCTGTGGCTGGCCTTTCTTAAAGCCTGAAGGTCTCCCCGGTGGCTTCCGCAGTCTGTGTGCACCTCTGGGGCCTTGGAACCCTTGGCAGCCCTGATGGCAGGGCAGGGCCTGGGGGTCCTTTGCTGATTGAGTGCATCTCCCCTGGGAGATGGAGAGGGAGGCACGGACAGGACTCGCTCCCCGGCTCTTGCTCTGCGGGCTGGCCAGGCCCTGCCCCTCTCCTGGGGAGCCGGGGCTCACTCTGTGGCCCCTGCTACTTCTGAAGTCCCTTCCCACGTCGTGGTCCGTTGCTCTCTGGAGGGCGTGGGGCTGTAGGGCGGCGTCTGATAAGGGGTGAGTCACCCCCCAAGCCCCAAGCTCAGTGCTGAGCCCTGGGCCCCTCTGCAGCCCCACCCCGTGTGTGCAGCACAGCTGGGGCCGGCGGCCAAGGGAGTGGCGAGCCTGGGGCTGTGGGGGTGCGCGCGTGCCGATGCTCTTGCTCGTGGTGGTCTGGTTTTGCGTTTCTCCTCTCACTGCAGAGTCAGCCCTTGGTGTCCAGCTGCCCCGGCCCCTGCTGTGTGTCCTGGCCACTGCAGCACAAAGGTGCTGGTGGGCCGCGCCCCTGTGCTCCCCTGCCCTTCGCCCTCCTGACACTCACACCCTCCCTCACCATCCTCTGTCACACCCTCTAGGGGCCTTGAGTGGTTTGAGATTCCCTGGGACTGCCTCCTCCCCTTTGCTGTGAGCTCTCCCCTCTGTCTGAGCTGCCAGTCCCCCGGGGAATCTCCCCTGACTGCCTGGGCTGCTTGGCATCCCCACCCTGGGCTCCCACAGTCTCATGTGCGTCCCTGTCTCTCGGGGCTGGAGCTGTGTCTGCTTGCTCTCTGCAGAGATGCCCCAGGCCGGGCACAGGGCAGGCGTTTGCTGAGAGATGGCTGAGTGTCCCCGTGTGGAGAGGAGGGCCTGAGAGGTGCCTGGCCCGCGCCAGATGGAGGAAGCGCAGCAGGGTGGCACAGGCCATCCTGGGGCCGGGCAGGCTGGGAAGGGTCCAGGCTCTTTCTGGGACTGGGTGTCCCTCAGGCCAGGACCCTGGCCTCTCTCCTGGGCCGGTGAAGCTGAATTCCGGGCAGCGTGGCCCGTTCAGCATCTTGGAAGGGAGCGTGTAGCTGAGGGGTCGCTGGGGTTGACCTGCTGGCTCTGGCAGCTGCTGGGCCGGCCCTCAGGGCTCCTCTGGGCCGTGGGCCTGGCCCTTCTGACTCATCCTTGCCCTGGGCCCACCTTACCCTCCACCTGGGTCTCCTCTGCCTCGGCATCCCCTGTCTGCACCCCCATCTCTGATCTTGCCTCCCCTGCCTCCTGCTGCCCTCCCTGTCTTTGCCACTCTGTTTGCCCCTTTCTCTCTGTTGTCCTCGAGGGCTCGGGGCCAGGGAGCAGAGGCTGGAGGGCGGCACTCCTGGGCAGCCGCCCCTCAGGCGCCTGGCCCAGCTCTGTCAGTTTCTAGGTACTCCCTCTCCAGGCCTTGGGTGTCTCTCGGTCTCTCCCCTCCTGTCCTCTCACTTCCCCTCCCCGTCACAACTGAGGAGGCACAGCTGTGAGTTGCGCAGGCTTCCACCTGGGAGGACAGCGTGTGGGGCATGTGGCGTGAGCACGTGTGTGTGTGTGCCCTTGCACATGGCTGTGGATGTGCGCATGCGCCGGGGTGGGGTAGGCAGCAGGGCCTGCTGGGCTGTGGAGAAGGGAGGAGGGTGGCTAGATGGGTCCACATCTGAGCATCGTCAGGTCAGTCAGGTCGGGAGCTGACTCCTGGTGACTTGAAGAACCTGCCCCGCCACCCTCACCGCACTCCTCGTCTGAGTGGCCGCCTCCCAGCTGGGGGCCACTCTCCTCTGTCTGGGTTCTGAGCCTGTGTCCGGGAAACAGAGTCCTGTGGGTGTGGGGTGGTGCCTCCTGGCCCCTCTCCTGCCAAGTGTGCAGGCCAGTCACCCAGGGGTGCGGTGTGAGGTCGCCGAGGAGGGCTGCTGTCTTTGAAGCCCCCTTGTCCGGTGTTGGTCGCTGCAGCAGGCCTGTCCTGAGTGGCTCCTCTGGGCCGTGGGGGAGCCCTGGGTGGCGGGAGGAGAGTCCTGGGCTCAGGCCTGCCCCTGGGGGTCCCAGCAGCTGTGAGACTGAGGGTCCTGAGGGTCCCAGCACCCTGGGCTGCGTGACGCTGGCCACAGGCCTCGGAGACCCTGACTGGGTGGGGAGGGTCAGTGGGCTTGGGGACTGGGCACTCCTGGTGTGGCCGCTCTCTTTCCCAGGGTAACAGTCTTCCCTCCTCCGTCTGCCTCGGCAGGTCCTCCAGAAACTGGGCAAGGCGGATGAGACGAAGGATGAGCAGTTCGAACAGTGTGTCCAGAATTTCAACAAGCAGCTGGTGAGCGTGGGTGGCCCTTGGCCTTGGGGGGCTTATGAAAATGAAAGTGTGGCTGACAGGTGAAAAATGTCAAGAGCCAAATTGGTGGAGCAGGGGAGCTTGGAGACGGGATCTGTGTGGGCTGGTGCATCATGGAAGGCTTCCCGGAGGAGGTAGCCCTGCACTGGGCATGGACCATGGGAAAGAGGAGGGAAGGGCAGGGTATGAGTCCTCCAGACGAGATGGAAAGCTTGGTGGGGGGAGGAAGGGTGGGTGGGGGCAGGCAACAGACTGTGGCCCAATGCTGGAAAACCTTGGTGTCAAGGCCAGCGGGAGCTGTAGAAGCTCCTTGGGAAGAGAGTGGCTTCTCAGGGTTCCATGTGGGAGCACAGCAGACTGGGTTCCATGTGGGTACCTGCTGAGCATCAGGCACTAGTCAGGGGCTGTGATTGCAGGGAATATGGTCTTTGTGGAAGCAGAAGGGGCTGCCCCTTCCTATGGGAGGCCTAGGAGAGGGTGTAGGTCACCTGGCTGTCAGCAGCTCCCAAAGGGGCCCCAGCACCCAGGCCACCCCTGCCCCTGGAGTGCTGCGAATGCAACTCGCCCGCCTGGTAGCCACCCTGAGTCCCCCAGGTGGGCCAAGCTCTTCCTTCTGGGGGCACCTGCAGCTTGCACCCAGGGGGCATCATTGCCATTTGCTTCTATCACTGAGAAGGGCAGGTCTGCCTCCTTCCTGTTCTCAGGGCCCAGGGCTCGGCTCACAGCGAGCGGCCTTGACTGCATGGGGCAAATGTCGGCTGCCGCCAGAGGGGATCCGTGCAGGAGGGGACGTCCATGCCCTCTAGACCTACTGAGGTCTGGGTCTTCAGGCCACGCAGATGGGGGTGTCGAGGAAGCCGGGAGCACTGTGTGGGGAAGGGCGGGGCGCTGGACGAGCCGCCCCATGGAGCTGTGCTGGGCGACGGTCCTGGGCTGTGATGCTCTTCCAGGCTCTCTGGTCCGGAGCCAGGAGAGGGGACAGCGGCTCCAGAAATTCACTGGCCCCAGCTGCTCTGCAAGGAGTGTGTTAGAGCCCCAGGGACCTCCACAGAGGCGTTCCGTGGATGCCCTGTTTGGGGGTCCAGGGAGGCAGTTGGGGAGCGAACACAGACACCCAGTGCTGGTGGCCTCAGTGCTGTCCTGTGGGAGGCGGCTGAAGGGGAGGGCTATGCCTGAGCCCGGGCTCTGATGGGGGTGCATGGCTCAGGGGCGCAGCTGCAGCTCGCACAGCGGAGGGAGAGCTCTGGGCAGCCTCTTGCACATCTGTGCCCTGCGTGCCTGCTCACAGTGAGACCTTGTTTGGGCAGCACAAGGGGCCCTGGTACGGCCTGCGGCCCAGACGAGAGCAGCGGCCTGCCTGGGGGTGACCCTCCTCGGGGTGCAGCGGCCCGCCTGGGGGGGCCCCTCCTCAGGTGCAGCAGCCTGCCCGGGGGTGACCCTCCTCGGGTGCAGCCGCCCGACCGGGGGTGACCCTCCTCGGGTGCAGCGGCCTGCCCGGGGGAAACCCTCCAGCAATCCGGGGCCCAGAGGCCGAGGCCGTGGAGCCTCCCCGTCTCGGACCGTCTCTGTGTCGCCCTAGGCAAGTCGCAGAGCCGGGCTCTCAGCTTCCTCTTTGGCTGGGCAGGGCAAGTGGTTCTGGGAGGATGCGGTGCTCTGAGCACACCAAGGCCACAAGAGCGGGCCCTGGTAGGAGGAGGGACGGCCTGCCTTGGGGCACAGCAGAGGTTTGGGGGTCCCTGGGGGGAGCCTGCTGGAAAGCTGTCCTGCCTGCCCAGTGATGGAGAGTCGACCTGCATCGGTGGAGACCACCTCTCACCTCCCGGCCAGGCCGGAGCACTGTAGGAGTGCCGGTTTCTGGGACTGTGGCTCGCTGCCAGTCCATGTCTGTCTGAGCCTGCACCAGGGCGAGGGGACCCAACCCACGGCTGTCACCCATGCATGGGCAGAGAGAGGCCAGGAGGGAGCCTGTCCCCCGCAGACACCAGCCGCAGGCCCTGCAGAGGCTCTGCTCTCCTCGCGGCCCATCTGAGGACATCGCTGTGTAGCCCTCTGAGGCTGGCCCTCCAGGCCACAGGGCTTGGCTCACTCACCACACTGCCTGAGCCCCTGTGGTGCGCCAGGCACTGTGCGGCACGCCACGCTCATTAGCTGGCGCTCTGCCAGGCAGGCTCCTTCACTCCAGGTGACAGATGAAGAGACCGAAGCTCGGAGAGGTTAGCGCCTTGCTTGAGTCTGTGTCTAGTAAGGTACAGAGCTGGGTGTCCATGGCCCCAAAGCCTCTGTTTTCATCTTCACGTGGTTTTTGGAAAATTCTGCATCTCCCTGTTGGTGGTCTCAGACCTCCCCTGCGGGCCTCAGCTTCCCGGTGGTGTCTATGGGCAGGAGAACTTGCAGCCCTTCCATGGCCTTCCCTTCTGGGGGTCCGCGGCCTCTGGAAGCCCCTGAGGCGGCTCTCCCACCCCCCGGCTCAGGCCCCCCGCAGGGCTGTGCCCTTCCCTGACGGAGCGGTGGTGACCTGCTGATCTGGGCTTCGGGAACGAGGGGTCAGGTGGTCCACGCCTGCTCCTGTGCTCGCTGGTCCCCGGTCCGTGGTTATTGGGGGCAGGCCTGGTGCACGCTGCTTCCATGACACACGTGTGCTGTGTCGTGTGTCAGTCAGCAGAGCCCCCAGCGTCTTGTCCAGTCTCTGTTTCCTGCCTTCCTTCCGGGGCTGTCAGTGGTGCCTGGAAGAGACAGGTGCTGACATGAACTTGGGGAGGATGTCCCTTGGGGCACAGGGCCCCTGAGTCAGGGATGGTGCTGAGAACACAGTGGATGCCCAGGACGTGTTTGTGGTCAGAGAGGCGGGAGCCGCTGTGCCCGTGCGGGGCCTCTCACTCTCACATGCCTCGGCCTTCTCGGCCCCCCAAAGCCCGGACCAGGACAGCTGCTCGGTGCACCTCTCGGGAGCAGCCCGTTTTCTATGCAGGTGGGCAGGGAGGAAGGGTCAGTACGGGTTGTGCCCCAGGCCCTCACCCTGTTTTGCCTTTTCTCTGCAGACCGAGGGCACCCGGCTGCAGAAGGATCTGCGGACCTACCTGGCCTCAGTCAAAGGTAAAGTGCAAGTGGGGCTCTTGGGCAGACCTGGCCTGGGCAGGCGGCTTCGTGGGACAGTGAGGGGGTCTTTCCCTCATGCAGCTGATGGGTGCTGAGCTAGGAAGGCACAGCAGAGTCTGTGGGGGTGCCCCTTCTGCGCCCTGGCTTAGCGGCCCATGGCCCTGGCTGCACTGTGGCTCCTCTGCCCCACAGCCATGCATGAGGCCTCCAAGAAGCTCAGTGAGTGCTTGCAGGAGGTTTACGAGCCTGACTGGCCTGGCAGGGACGAAGCGACCAAGATCGCGGAGGTGAGTGTGGGCCAGGGGGCCGGCCGTTCCTGGAGGGCCCTTCCAGTCTCAGCTGCCAGCTGGCCCACCTTCCCTCGCCCTCTGGGGCGAGCACTTTGGTTCCCAGGCACTCATGTGCTGTGTGATTCGCGCGTACCTCCCCTCTCCAATCCCCCTGGCCCTGGGCCTATCTGAGCCTCACAGCTGCCCCACAACAGGCTGCAGGGCAGCAGCTGTTACCCATTACAGTGAGGCAGCTGATGTTCTGAGCAGCCACTGCTGTGCACAGTGGGTCTGGGGCCGACGCCCAGGCCCCTGGGGAGCACAGGGGCTGAGTGTGCCCAGGCCCCATGGAGCACCCTCGTTCCTGCCTCCTGCAGAACAATGATCTGCTCTGGGTGGATTACCACCAGAAGCTGGTGGACCAGGCGCTGCTGACCATGGACACATACCTTGGCCAGTTCCCCGACATCAAGGTGAGGGGCCTGCTTTGCGGATCTGCCCTGCTCTGGCCTGGCAGCCTGTGCAGGGGGAGGTGGGTAGGAGGCCCGAGGAGGGCAGGCATCCCCCTTGCCTGGCAGTTCACCCCTCCAGGGCTGCTCCTTCCGAGGCCAGCACGCCAGCTCCCACACCTGGGTCTTTCGGAGCTGAGGGTTTTGGGCCAGTACCTGTGGGAAGAGACTGTGTGGGGTGTGTATGTGGGTATGGCTGTGGCACTGTGCAGTGGGTGTAGAGTCATCTGAGGTGTACTAAGGGGCTTTAAGGCCTGGGCATGTGTCCAGCACAGGTGCCCTGTGTTAGGCTGTGTGCTTGGAAGGGAAGTGTATGCAGTCATGTAGGTTGTCTGGTGTTTGGGTGACTGTACGGTCAAAAAACTTGCATGTCTGTTGTGCCTGGGAATGTGCTGGGGGTTGTTAATAGGCCAGGGTCTCCTCCGAGGTGCTTTGGTCATGGAAGCAGAGGTGCCTGGGTGGTGACTGCGGTCATTCTAGACCCGATCCCCTGGGGGTCCACGCTCCAGCCCTCTCAGCCACCCGAGGCAGGTGCCTCATGGGGAGTGGAGAGGCTTCAGTGGTGGCCTGGGAGAAGGGAAGCCTGCGGCCCGGGAGGCCCCTTCAAGGAGCTGAGGGCTAGGCCAGGGAAGAGGCTCAAGCAAGTCCAGCACAATACTGGCTGGTGGGTGTGACAAAGGGGCAGGTGTCACTCGGAGGCGGCTTGACCTTCATGTGGGAAGAGACCTTGCAGGGCCAGCTCTGGGCCACCAGGAGTGTGCGGCAGTGCCTCAGTGTGTGTCAGGAGCCCTCGAGGGGCCTGGGTGTCCGGCTGCATCCAGGTCCCTGTGCCCACGGCCCTGTCCCCTGGGCCTGGTCCGGGTCAGGTCTCAGCGCGTGTGCCAGGCCTCATACAGCCCCGCACCCCTGTCTATCCCCCAGTCACGCATTGCCAAGCGAGGGCGGAAGCTGGTGGATTATGACAGCGCCCGGCATCATTACGAGTCCCTCCAAACGGCCAAAAAGAAGGATGAAGCCAAAATTGCCAAGGTAAGGGCTGGAGGTGGGACCGGGAGGGTCTTTAGGGAGACCAGCAGGGGCGGGGTGCCAGTGGGAGCCTCCCTCCTGTGCTGGCGTCCTCAGCCCTGCCCGCTGCAGCTGGGCCTGTCCCAGAGCTGGGGGTGGGGCAGTGCTGGGCCCAGGGTGGGGGTGAGGCAGGCCCTGTGGGGCCTGGGTGAGGGCTCACGCCTGGCCCGTCCGTGGTGCCCGCTTGGCCCCGGGCCCTTGTGCCCTGCTCTCAGGCCACTTTCCAGGGTGAGCTTGGGTTTCACTGGACTTGTCCTGCCCAGCTGGGCGTGCTCGGGTGGAATTCCATCCCAGGGTCTGATGTGACCCTGTCTCAGCAGGAACAAGGCAGGGTGGGCACAGGGCTGGGGCCCTCCGCACCCTCCGTGGGGAGAGCTGAGGGCGGGCCCCACTGCCCGGCAGGACCCTGCTTGCCGAACCCTCTGCACCGCTAACAATTCTGACATTTTGCTTTGCAGCCGGAGTTCACCCCCTCACTGTCCCACTATTGATTCTCTCAGCCTCAGGGCCACAGGCCCCTGCCGAGGTGGCCAGCGTGTCTGTCTCCGCGTTTGGGACGTTTGGACTTGGTGTTTAACACGCGTGTCTCTGTTTCTCTCTCCCCACCTCCCTCCTGTCTCCGCTCTCCTTGCCTTGACCTCCGCTCCCGCCCCCAGCCTGTCTCGCTGCTTGAGAAGGCCGCCCCCCAGTGGTGCCAAGGCAAACTGCAGGCTCACCTCGTAGCTCAAACTAACCTGCTCCGAAATCAGGTGACACCCGCCTCTAACCTTGCACGTGCTGGCGCCTTCTCGTCTGTTGTGTCCTCGGTCGGGTGCCTGTCTGTGCTTCCCCGGGCGGGGGAGGGCTCAGGCCTTTTTCCCGGTTGGGAGGCAGGGTGGGTTTCAGATGCCTCTGGCTAGATGCTGGCTCAGATGCTGCTGCTTCAGATGAGACTGAGGTCAAATGTGGGAGACAGGTAGAGGCTGGGACCTCTGGCTGACCTAGGGTGGGCCCAGGTCTGCTGCTGAGAGCCGGGGTCCACAGCAGTCCCGGCATTCTCTGAAGTCCTAGCCTCCAGGGATGGCTCGGAGCTGTTTGTCTGCTGTGGGAGCTCTGGCAGGGAGGGATGTGATGTGACTGGGGCTCCTGCCCTGACATGCCCTGTCCTTCAGGCGTCCTAAGCACTGTGAAGCCATCCTGTATAGGAGACAAGCCTGCCCTGAGGGGCAAAATCTCCTTCCCAGGGTCCCAGAGCCACTTAGTGGCCAGGCTGGGGTTCACCTGGCTCAAGCCCTGGGTTATTAGCATAGTATCCTGGTGGGGGTGTGTGTGTGTGGCTCCCTGTGGGTGGACCTGCCACTGCTGGTCAGACTCATGGGGACCCCTGGGACCTGTGGGCCCCCATGGTTCCCCTGGAGGGGTTACTGGGAGGGTGTTCCATTCTGGCTTGGATGCTAAAACCTGGACCTAGAGGGCTGGTTCAGTGGGAGTTGATGGAGGGCAAACTGTCTGCACTCCAGTGAGCCCGGAGGGCTTCCTGGAGCAGGCACTTGGTATAAAACTGAGCAATCCTGTTACCCTGGCAATACTCCCTGTTCCCGGCGCCTGCCCTCGGGATGCCAGGTCCTGGGTGAGCACTGCGCTCCGGGACGGCTGGGTGCAGCGCCCGGTACGGTGGCTTCGTGGGTCTCCCTCCCGTGAAGCTGATGTAGCTCCAGTGCACCTTCCTGGTCCCAGGGTTGGGGCGGGCAGCCCGGGATGCTGGATTTCTCTCTGGGCAGCGGCCCCGTTTCTCCTGGTTTCATCATCTTCGGCCCTGGTGTTTTGAGCTCTGGGCTCAGCAGGGGGTTGTGGCCCAGTTCTTAGCTGACCCGCTGCTGATTTCCTTTAGGCCAAAGCTGTGGGCTGACTTTGTAGGCAGTGCTGTGGAGAGCATCACCCTGGGTTGGGGTGACCCAGGATCTCCGGAGTCTGGGGAGGCGGCCTGCTGGGGAGACATGGGCGGGGCGCGTGGCTGGAGCCAGCTTGTCCTGCCTTGGAGCTGGAGGGCATGGGGCTGTTGACCCAGGGCCAGAGTTCCTGCATGATTTTCCCCGAAATGGGTTTGGCGGAGACCACATGAACGCCTCTGTGGGGTGGGAGAAGCCCCTGAGAGACCAGGGCGCCTGTGGCCCTTCCTGGGCTCCTCGGGCACGTGTGGTGGGGTCGTGCTGGGAGGTCCACTCGCCTCTGCCCCGCCACACCCCCCCTTAACCGCACGGGAGGCTGAGGCACGTGATCTCATCTTTGGAGTTGGACTGAAGATGTGAGTTTCTTGGCTGAACTGGCTTTCCTGTTTGGGTTCCATTTTTATTGAACGTATCCTCCTTCTGCACCCCCCACCCCACCTCATGCCTGCTTGGAAGCTGGGGAGCGCTCGAGTCCCTGTGGGCAGCTGGCTGACTGTGAGGTGGCGCACTTGGGGCCCCAGGGCTGCCCAGCTGGCCGCCGTGACTTGAGACACGGGGCCTCGTGAGACGATGCTCCGTCCAACTGACCAGTTCCATGTGTGCCCTGGGCTCATTCTGAGCTGCTCTCCACACTTGCCAATCTCCCCAAACCTGCCTGCAGGGCCCTCGTGTCCCACTGCACGGTGAGCAGGCCGACTTCGGGTCTGCTTTACACATCCGTCAGGGTGCAGCTGAGCCAGCGGGGCCCCCCAGTGGACAGCTCGCCCCACTCCCTGCCATCCCAGGTGCCTCAGAAATAGCCGGAGGATGAGGAATGTGACTCTAAGGGAATGAAAAGCACAGGCGCTTCCAGGAGCTCTAGAATGGAACCACCCTGTTCTTTGCACTTTGCTGGGATATGTGAACAGGTCTTAGTGTGTGGCGACCAGCTGCTGTGCCATTATCAAGTCACTGTCATGACTGCTTATTTGGGGACTTAGGACTGGTGTCATGGGGTGGGGCCAAACCCTCACGGAGAGGTGGTTTTTGTGGGTAGAGGGGCTGGGCAGTCAAGGCAGGTCCTGGCGGACGTGGGACTTGAGCCAGACTCCTGGTGGGTGGGTGGGAGGCGTGCACGAGTGTCAGGCTTGTGGGAGACCCCCTTTTTGTGGGTTCTGCAAACTGTCATCAGCAGACCCCAGTCAGGCAGGGCGGTTCCTGGAGGAGTACAGTGGGGATGGCCAGGCCCAGGGCCTGGAGGGCAGGCCACACCCGATCCATTCCAGGTGTGGCAGGAGCACGCGTGCTTAGAGACGTCTCTTTTTTCTTTGTTTCCTATCCTACCTCTAATTTTTAAATTAGATGTTTAAATGTGAGGCAGAGAGCTCACACACTCCAGCAAGTTCCAATGACCTGAAGGTGACTGCAGGCAGGAGGGGTGGTGGCCCCTCTCCTCCAGTCATCCCCAAGCTCCCCCAGCTCAGTGGGGTCATGGGCTGACTTGGGCTGATTCCAGTGTCTGAAGCTGGTTGGAACAGCTGGGTGGGCTTGCGAGATCGTGTGCTTTGTGACAGTTTGGCATTCTGGCCCGTTGGCGGCCTCTGCCAGAAGGCCTGAGAATGTGAAGCTGCCGGCTGGAAGTTTTCTCCTGGGAGGGGCCGTTCCTGGGCTGTGACTCAGGCCCTGAATCCAAGTCACCCCGTTGTCACTGTTCCCAGCAGCCCCTCCAGAATGAGTAGCAGAGCCCTGCTCTCTGGAGCTGACCCACTCCCACCCTCACGCTGGCCCTCCGCCTGCAGGGGGAGCACTTGCTGCCTGGTTCCTGACATTCGGCTCTGCCATGGGGCCTTAGTGCTGCTGCCTGGGGGTGCAGACAGGCCCGGGGGGTACAGGGCCTGCCCTGGGCACAGTGCGCAGGCCTGGGGAGCTGGCACGGGTGCTGCCCAGTGGCCCAGCTCCTCCCCTGGCCCTGCCCTCCCCATCTTCCCCCTGGCTTTCCCAGCCTCTGTCTAGTGGGAGCAGGGCACAGGGTAGGGGGGCTGGGTAGGAAATACTGCCCCAGGGAGGTGAAATGCAGGCTGGTGGCAGAGGCTGAGTAGGAGCCTGCCTTAGAAAGGGGAAAGGAATGCTCAGGACAGCCAGCAAGGGCCAGGCCCCGAGAGCTGGGCAGCAGGCTGACAGCCTGAGATGGGTTCCTGGGGAGTGGGCAGGGCCTACACCTGGCTGGGTCTGAGGTCTGCCTCTGTGCCCTTCCTGTGCCCAGCCTCCCCGTGGGCCTCTTGTCCTGTGCCTTCTTCTTGGGTCCTACTCATCCCTTCCCTCCCTCCTGGGCCACCTGGGCCAGATGGTGAGGGGTACTCCCTTCGGTGATGGCTGCTCTGCCCTCCTATTCCCTGGGCGCCCCCTGGAACTGGCTATAGGGGCACAAGAGCTGCCTGGGGTGGCCCACCCGGTTGTCCACATTCAGGTTAGCCTGTCTTGCCCAGAACCTGGGTCCCAGTGAGCTGGGCAGGAGGTTGGGGGAGCAGGTCTTGGTGGGGGCCTGGCCTGGGCTGGGCTGGCTGGGACAGAGGCCCAGCAGAGGGCAGTGACCCGTCCTGCCCTGCAGGCTGAGGAGGAGCTCATCAAAGCCCAGAAGGTGTTTGAGGAGATGAACGTGGACCTGCAGGAGGAGCTGCCGTCGCTGTGGAACAGGTGGGCCAGGAGCAAGGGGCCCCGCCCCCTCCCGGGCTGCAGCTGTGTCCCTGGTGTCTGTCCACCGGGCCCCGGGCCCCTCAGGGTCTGCATCCCTGGGTGAGGCTCTATTGGGCTGCCCACTCTCGCCCATGTTCTCTTTGCCTTTTTTTCTCTCCCACCTGCAGCCGCGTAGGTTTCTACGTCAACACATTTCAAAGCATCGCTGGGCTGGAGGAAAACTTCCATAAGGAGATGAGTAAGGTAGGCCTGGTGACCCCGAGGGCCTCGGCCTCCGGTCAGGGCCAGGCTCCTGCATCTCTGCTGGGGTGGGATCGCGCCCCGGTGGCCACCACGCCTCCTCTGGGTCCCAGGGAAGAGCTCCCCACCCAGAGTGTCCGGGCCCAGTGGGAACTGCTGGGTGCATGGGGGTGGCGGTGAGCGGGGTCCCCAGGTCCAGCCCCAGTCCCCTCACTGCTCCCTGTCCTATTCTTGCCTGGACAGAACCAGCCCCCATCAAACTGTCAATGTGAACGCAGAAAACCTCGGCCCAGGGAGCTCAGTGTCAGAACATGATGGTGGTTTCCCAATTTGTGGGCAAATAGTAAATAAATTACTAGGATTTTTCTTAATTTTTAATTTTTCCCACATTTTTTTTAAAGACATTAAGCAGGTCTGCTTTCTCTGCCAGCATTTGGCATATTCAGAAGGGCTCTGATTATCTTAAATCCTTATGTTGTATTCTTTTCATTTTAACTTCACTAGCAGTTGAATGGCAGAGGCGAGCTGGGGAGAGGAGCGTTGGCAGTGGGTGCATCTGACTCTGTCTCTTGGGCTCAGAGGAATGAAGTGATGGTGGTTTATTCCAGGCCCAGGACAGGAGGAGGACAAGGCAGCGTGTGGCCTCTCCCGAGTCACTGTCCTCAGTATGGGGACCTGCCTTTTAGGCCTTCCCTTCCCTTTCTACATTTCCTTCCTCCCTCCAAAGATTTGAGACAACTTATAAAAAGTTTAGAGACCAGAAAGAGGTGTTTGGGGAAGGAGACATTCCTGTAAAGTAGGAGGAGAATTCAGCTCTGAGGTTCCTGGTAGCCAAGGCAAAAAGAGAAATATTCTCAGTGATGGGAATCATGTGTGCACCAGATGAACCTCTTGTCTTGCTGGTGTCTTTTGTAAATCTCTGGCAGTTGAAGTGTGGTTTGAATGCATCTTGGCAAAATGACCTTAACAATTAGGATCAACAGTTTCTTAGTGTTAATTGCAAAACAATTAAAAACAGTATGAGCTTCTGTGGCCTTTTAGGAAATCCTTGCCAGTAGGAAGAAGAGAAACAGCTTTGGCCAGGCAGCCCGCTTCATTTCCCCCCTGGTTTTCCTCGTTTGGTGCTGGTTCTCAGTTCCCACTGATGGAGAAAAAAGAGTTATTCCTGGTAGGGGCAGGGGTACAGGAAGCGGGCACAGTAGGGGGAGAAGCAGGGATGTGCTGTGGAGACTGGGACTCTTCAGTGGCCCCTCCTTCCACCTGCTGCTCCTTCTGCAGCTCAGCCAGAACCTCAGCGACGTGCTGGTGGACCTGGAGAAGCAGCATGGGGGCAATACCGTCATGGTGAAGCCCCAGCCCAGGTGCGTGACCGCCTCCCTCCAGCTGTGGGCAGGTGTGGGGGGGGTCCTGGAGAGCTCCTGGGCTCGCCGACGCCTGCCGGGCCGGGCAAGGCTGGCCCCTGTGCTCTCGTGGCCTCCCTGCGTTCAGGGGAGCAGGCGAGGCTGCCCACTCCTCAGGCGTGTCCCATCAGGGCAGGGCCGTGCTGGGCGGTCTGCAGATCACCCGAGCTGGGCCTGGCCTTCCCTCTGTGGCCGGGGGACGAAATGATTCACGGGCAGCAAGGGGAAGCTGTCTGGGAAGCGAGCTGTCCTCCTAGAGCACCACCTTTTCCCTTTCCTGCCCTGGGAAAGCCCAGGGCCCTGGATGGGGGCACTGGCACCACACCGTTCCTGTCCTGGGCCCCTCAGAACCCCTCCCATGGCAGGAGATCCCTGCTTCCTGAGGGGAAGTGAGGCGGGGAGAAGCCCTCGCCTGGCTGCGGCCCGTGGGAAAGCGCAGTGAGCCTGGGATTTCCCTTCCTTTGGCCTCTCAGAGGGCAGGGTGGGGAAGGGATGGGCATGACAGCATCGCTTCCCTGTGTGACACGGGCCACAGTGTCTGCTTCTGGGGGTAGTTGGGTCATTACTTAGTACTGGTAAGGTATTCAGTGGACGTTACTGACCCCTTTCCCCCTGAAAATGAAATAAAATATATGTGATGGAGAGAGGGGCCCACAGGGTGCCCAGAGGCTGAGGAGCTGGGGAGGGGTGGCGGGTGAACAAAGGTCAAAGGCAATTTCCTAGGTCACACCTGGGAGGAAGGTGGCCCCTGGGCTGCCCCCATCTGGCTGGAGGTCCTGTGGGCATGTCCAGGATGAGTGAGGACAGTGAGCTGCTGCTTCCTGTCCTGGGCAGTGCAGGCAGTGGGGACCAGGCTTTCCGTGGGGAGGGCTGGCCTGAGGGCAGAGGAGGGCAGGGGAACCTCCTTGGCACCAGACCGGCCCCTCTACTGGGGCCCCACACTGGCCAGCTGAGCCCCACTTCTTCCTGGCACTCTGGCCTCCAGCACTCCTGGGGGCTGTGCTGCGAGCAGGGCGGGTGGCCAGCAGTCCTCTCCAGCCCCCTGCAGTGTGCTAGCCCTCTCTACTCATCTTGCCAGTGCCACTGCCTGGTGCCTAGCAGCATGCCAGGGCCAGCCGGGCCCCAGGACTGGACAATGGGGTTCCAAGGGTGGGGTCAGGCCCTCGTCTTGGCCTCTGGGTTAGGGGAGGCTTGGCCCCTTTGCCCTGCTCTGAGCACTGGCACTGGGGTGCTGGTGGGGGACGGAGCAGGCCAGCCCCAAAGTGGGCATCTTCCCAAAATGAAGGCCTCTGCGTCCCATCTGTTACCACAGAAAGAAAACTAAACTGTTCTCCCGGCTGCTCAGAAAGAAGAACAGGTACCAGCACAGAGCTGCATTGTGGGGGGCTGACGCTGGCCCCCGTGCATGCGCCAGTGCCCACTCGGAGGTGCCCCTAACCCCGGCCCTGTGCGTGTGTCAGCGCCACTTGGAGGCGCCCCTAACCCTGGCCCTGTGCGTGTGCCAGCGCCGCTCGGAGGCGCCCCTAACCCTGGCCCTGTGCGTGTGCCAGCGCCGCTCGGAGGCGCCCCTAACCCTTGCCCTGTGCGTGTGCCAGCGCCACTCAGAGGTGCCCCTAACCCCAGCCCTGCGTGTGTACCAGCGCCACTCGGAGGTGCCCCTAACCCCTAACCTGACTGCCATGTGGTGCTGCCCTGCAGCGGGGCCGGGGCACACTCTGTCGTGTGTTGGGGGCAGAGAGCATAGCGGTTGCTGGGTGGGAGTGCGGGTGGCACCGTGCTCTCTGCACCACACAGGGCCACTGCGCTGGGCCCGGCCGGGAGCATTAACAGGTGGGGAGTGTAGCCAGAAAGCAGTCCTGGGGGGCTTATGAGGGGGCTCCTGTGGCTCGGTGGTGGTTTTAAAAATCGTATGTGTGTACAATGCTCATATTGCTCATATACATGCTTTAAGAAGGCACATCCGTTCCCATAAAACACACGGTCATAAGAGCGAGAAGGTGCTGCGATGTGCTCCGTGGCCCTCCCATCACCTACCTGCCCCGGAGGACATGGTCACTAAGTCCTGTGTGTCCTTCCAGGCTCAGCCTGTCCAACATGGGGACTTGCCTTGTGTGGCTGGCGGGTGCTTGAAACGGGCCAGTGTGACTGAGGAGCCCAAGTCTTCATTTTATTTAATTTAAAAATCCATGTGAACGGCCCCCGTGGCTAGTGGCCTGTCTCGGTCAGCCGCTGTTCTGGAGTTTATGCAGGTGCCAGTGCCGGCTCCTTTTTCACAGCCCCTTGGCACCGTCATGGTGGGTTATGGACACTGTTTGCCTTGTTTTCTGTGCTGACCGATATGGCTCAGTCCTTGGCCCCCTCGTCCCGGCCGCCACCTTCCCTGTGTGGGCACCGCCCTTTAACACGCACTCCGCCCTGGGCCTCTGGCTGGTTTACCATGGACGGGTCCGTGGGAGCAAAGGTGTGAGGCCGTGACGGGGGTGTGGGTGGGCTGTGGGCCCTAGGAGCTGGGTGCACTTGGTGCTCTGGTGTGAGGGGTGGACAGGCGGAGGCTGGCTGAGAGGCCCTCTGGGGTCAGCCGAGGCCCAGCCTGGGCGTGGGGCTGCGGGCATGTGGGACTCTTTGCTTCCAGGACTGCCGGCTGCCCCAGGGGGCCAGGACTTCAGCTCCCAGTTCTGCCCTCACAGCCACTGTCCAGAGCAGGCCCCACGGCCAGTGTGTGGGGCACACGTCCTTCATTCTCACCCATTCTCATGCCCATGTGCACGTGGCTTCACACATGGATGCAAGGGACACCCTCGGGCACATGGAGACATCACACTTTCACAGTGGATCAGTGTGGAATGGGCCACACATTGGCCCACGTGGACACATGCTCACACACGTGCACACACATTTCCACATGGGGGTCCCCGGGGCATCTGCAGGCGCATTGCCCGTCAGAGGCACCCCCTCTTGCACGCTGGGACCTCCCTCCATCCGGCCCCTTCTCTTGTCTCGCCTCTGCAGTGATAATGCTGCTGCCGAAGGGAACAAGAGCCCGTCACCTCCGCCAGACGGCTCCCCAGCCGCCACCCCCGAGATCAGAGTCAACCATGAGCCGGGGCCACCCAGCTCGGCCACAGCTGGGGCCACCCTCCCCAAGTCCCCTTCTCAGGTAGGCGGGTGTCTTGGTGGCCTGTCCCCTTCCCTCCTTCCTCTTCCTTCTGCTTTGCTGTCTCCCTGTCTCCCAGCCCCACCCGCCCAGGCTGGCCCCTGTGGCCCCTGTGGCCCCTGTGGGGCATCTGTGACCCTCCGCCGCAGCACCCCGACCCCTGGCCTCTGGGGCTTCTTGGCTCCTTCCGTCTTCCTTTTCCTCCTGAGATACAGGCTGGGCCTTGGCCACAGGCATTCAGGTCTGCTGAGCGGGCTGTGGGTCCCCCTCTCCCTTTATAGGGGTGGCAGGAGAGGGGCTCAGTGAGGGGGTGAGAGGTGGCAGAGGGGGCAGGCCTGGCTTCTGGAGGAGCCTGGCCCACGCCCCCCAGGTCTCTGCAGTGTCCCCAGCTGTGGCCAGTGTAGAGCTGGAGAGGAAGGGGGCACCTTGCTGCCTGAGCCCCGCCCCGCGGTAGGCAGCCCTTGCTTGTAGGGTGCGGCCCTCGGGCCCCTGATGGGGATAGATGAGCAGCAGTGAGGCGAGCCCCCCTGGGGGCGCACCTCCTCCGGGCGGCACTGTCAGCACCTCCCATGTTCCCCTTCGTCGCGTCCCCACCGCTGCCCCGAACAGGCAATGCTGTTGGCACCCCAAGGTGACAGATGAGGAAACCGAGGCCTGGGGGTGTTGTGTGACCTCCTGAGGCCTCCCGGGCAGGTGGTAACCACCCTCCCAGCCCTCTGGCGGGCCCTGGCTCTGTGCTGGCCCCCCCAGCCTGAGGAGAGGCCCCGAGCAGAGAGCAGGGTCAGAGGGAGGTGTGTGTGCTCAGTGCCCCCGCGCCCCCAGGGGTGGGAACCCAGCCCCTCCCAGGCCCCTCCTTCTGTCCTCTTCTCCCCTCACCTGTACCCCCCCCTTTCCTCCTCTCAGTGCAGCGGCTGGACCCCCCGGGGCCTGAGGTCCTGGTGTCTGTGTCGTGGGGACCAGCGGCTCCTCTTGCGTCCTCACTGCCCTGGGTGGCCTGGGTGTGGCTAACCGTGGCCTTGTCTCTGTCTGTCTCCCTGGCCCCCACATTCCGCTGTGCCTCCCTGCGCGGCCCCCTCACCCGCCGCCGACCCACAGCTCCGGAAAGGCCCACCAGTCCCTCCGCCTCCCAAACACACCCCGTCCAAGGAGGTCAAGCAGGAGCAGATCCTCCGCCTGTTTGACGACACGTTTGTCCCTGAGATCAGCGTGACCACCCCCTCCCAGGTCAGCCGCGGCCACCGCGGCCCAGCTCTTCCCCATCTCGCATGGCCTTCCCGTCCATCTCACGCCCTGTGCCTCTGCCCAGCAGCCAGGAGTCTGGCCGGAGAGCCTGGCCCTGAGCCTCCCTCTCGTGCCTCCGTGCACCCCTCCATCTCTCACCCCTCATCCGTGTCTGAGCATGTACTGGGGTCAGACGCAGGGGAACAGGTGATTGGCCCTGCGGGTCAGCAGAGCAGCGGCCTCGAGGTTCCATCAGCGCTGTGGAGGGGGAGCAGGGGGCCGGGGAGCAAGAGGACTCAGGCTAGTCTGGGAGGCCTTCCTGGGCAGGGCGACGTTTGCCACGTGGCTACAAACACAGTTCTTTGGCCGGAGATGGCAGCTTGTGTGGAGGCCAGGAGGGGTGCGAATGGGTTGGGAACGCTGGGGAGCTGAGTGGGTGAGGGGGGTGCCGTGATGGGAGGCAGGGAGGGGCAGTGGGAGCACACGGGCACGCCCTGAGGTGTCTGGTCCAGGCGCCTCCACTTTAGCTCCTAGAGCTGCTGACAGCCCTTGGGGGGCGGGATGGTGTTCGGGAAATGCCCTCAGAAGGCACATCATGCTCCTTCCCGGATGGAGGGCCCAGTAGGGAGGGTCCCCAGGTTGGCTGCCTGCTGTCAGACCAGCTCATGGTGCGCTGACCACCCCAAGGCCAGCCTCCAGGTCTCACCGCTGCCCTTCCCACTTTGCTCTCGCCTTTCGGGCATGCTGCTATCCCGCACTGCTGCAGGGCTGCCCAGCCCGGGGTCTCTGGGCTCTGCCTCCCACAGGCCCCTTTGCACACCCTTGGCAGCCTGGGGCAGGGTGTGAGTGTGCACGGGGAAGCAGCTGGAACGGAGGACAGTGGTCTCTGCAAAGGGCCTGGGGTTTGTGGGCTTCAAGCCCCTCGGAAAGACCTTGGGTGGGAGCTAGGGACTTTCAGTACAGGGCGGCCAGGCGGGCGGGTGGTTCCCTGGCTCAGGGGCCCCGGGGGCACGGGAGCCCCTCTCTGTAGAAGGAAGCTGGGGCTGGTCCGGTGCACTCCTGGAACGGTGGGCAGACGGGGTGGCCCACGCCCTGGGCGGCTTTGGGTGCTCTCAGGGGCTGGGTGGCACAAGCACTGGTAAGCGCTGAGCCAGGAATGGCGCAGCCACTCACTGGCACGCCCTAGTTGAGTCTTCAGCTAGTTAAGGGGTTGTCACTCCACCTAGCAGGTGACGGGCCTGTGGGCTTGCCCTGCAGCCACAGCGCCTGCACCACGTTCCTCACGTTTGCTGCATGCCTCCCTTGCTGCCCATGTGCTGCCCCTCTGCCCACTCGGCAGAACCAGGTCCCTGTGCAGTGGGGAGTGTACACAGGGTACCGTGGCCCGGGGCTGGCCCCATCCACAAGGCTGTGCAGACGGGGTGGCTCTGCTGGGCTGTGCTGAGAAGCTGGCCAGCATCCCTGCACTGAAGGACAGTCCTGTCCTGTGTGGTGGGGGGCTGGCCTGCTGGGGTGGAGGGCGTGCCCTGCCCTTTGCCCTTTGGCCTGGTGACCTCGTCCCCTTGCAGCATGAGGGGGCAGCTGTCTGCGCTTGGCTGGCTTCTGAGAAGGGTGGGGGGCGATACTGCCTGTCGGCTGGTGGGAGGCCTGTGCCCATGGTGTCTTGCCCTGTCCTTCCCTCACACGGCAGGGCTGTGGGGATAGATCAGTGCCCCTGACCCCCAGGCTCGGTGGACAGAGTGCGACCTAAAGGAACGTCAGGCCGGAGTGAGCCTGGGGCGCCTGCCCAGAAGCACATCCACTGGCCTGGGCTCTCTGAGCTCTGCGGCTTGGCCTGGTGTGGGTGCCTCACCCCACAAGCTGTGGGACAGCTGGCCCCAGTATTCTCACGGCCCTGACAGGCCCAGCTGAGGAGGCCTTCCGGGGTCCTCCCTGGGCACGGGCTGGAGGAGGCTCCTGTTGGTACTGGGTGCAGATGGGAACTGGGCTGGCCTGGGCTTGTAGGGGCTGCCACTCTCCTGGCACTATATGAGGTGGAGGAGGGGGTCTGGGGCTGAGCCAGGTCCCTTTTCTGTAGGGCCCAGGCAAGGTCTTCCCTGCCTGCCAAAGGGGAACCCTGTGTACGAGATGGAGGCTGCAGCTGAGCAGCCCCTCCTCCTAGGAGGGCTGCGTGCCCAACGGGCAGCTGGGGCTGACCCGGCCTGTCCTCAAGGGTGGTCTGGGACCTACCGTGGGCTGGCTTCTCACAGTGTGAGTGCAGCCACCACATCCCGGTCTCCGGGGGCTGCTTCTGTCACAAGCACGTTCCTGGGCTGCACCTGGACCAACTGAAGGGTGGCGGGAGCTGCAGTTTGAGAACAGGCACCCCAGGTGTTGGGGACCCCACGCTTGAGACTGGGCCCCTGAGCGGTGTGGCTGGTTCAGCCCTGTCCTCTGTGGTGCTGGCTGGTGGGTGACTGTCATCCCATCCGTATGGGGCAGTGGGGAAGGCCAGTGCCTGCCCCAGGGCCCTCCCGGTTGGGGGCTGACCCCTGTCCAGCTGGAGCGTGGCCTGTGCTGCTTTGGAGCTCATGGGCACAGGGGGCCGAGAGGAGGTGTGCTGGGGGGTCTCTTCAGCCGTCAGGGCAGACAGATGAGAGTGGCAGACAGATGGGACAGCTGGTGTGGGGCGAGCGGCAGCTGTCCTGGCAGGCCTGTTGAGATGTCCGTCTTGGGTGCTGTATGCCGTCCATGTGCGGGTGGGAGCCTGGGCCAGGTGTGTGTGAGGTGGGGTGCCCTGGAGCCTGCGGCTGCTGTGCGCGTCCTTGTATGGGGCTCCCAGCCTGTCACTAACACTTTCCTCCTTTGCTGCCGCCAAGTTTGAGGCCCCAGGGCCTTTCTCGGAGCAGGCCAGTCTGCTGGACCTGGACTTTGACCCCCTCCCACCTGCGGCGAGCCCCGTGAAGGCGCCCACGCCCTCTGGTCAGGTTGGTCTGCGCCCACGACTGCCCACAGGTCCATCGGCCTCTGGGGCACCGGGCCCTGGGCTCATGTCTGCCACAGGCCGTGTGGGCCTCCCTAGGCCCAGGCTTCTGGGTCTTGGGGTCTGCAGGCTCTCCTATGCACTGCCCTTTCCCCGGTGCCCTGGCCCCTGGGTCTCGTCAGCTCCTCTGGTCCTGACCATGGGGTAGGGAAGAGAGCAGATGGTCCGCATGGGCCCCTTTGGCAGGAGGGTGGACCAAACACTCACCGGGTACGTCAGCGGCCCATCTCAGCATCCTGTCCCTCCCCAGCGTCAGCCGCTGGCCTGGGTGCTGGGCCCCCTGGGAGGTGTGCAGGACTCGGCCCTCTGGAGACCTCAGAGCCTGGCTCTGTGCTGCCCCAGGCCTGCCGGGCTTTGGGGCCCTGGGGGGTCCCTGGGGACGCTTGCTCACCTTGTCTCTAACCTCTGTGCTAACTGTCCTTCTCCTCCTGCTGCGCTCAGTCAATTCCGTGGGACCTCTGGGAGGTAAGCCGTGCTTGCTCTGTGCCCACCTCCTGGGGGCGTGGCTCTTCTGCGGGTGCGGGGCCCGGTGCGCCTCGTCCTGCACCCGGTCGCTTCACGGTGCAGCCACGCACGCTCGGGCCAGCGCCCACGCGAGGGAGGTGGTGGCTGTGTCCAGCTGTTGCGCTGCGTCGCCCTGTGGAGGTTGTGCCCTCAGCCAGGCCCTGAGGGAAGGGGCTCCTCAGTTTAGCTTGAGAAGTGGGTCCTCTGCAGTTTGGCCCAGTTGTCAGGGCCTGTGAGTGGCCGCAGATGGTTGGCCCCCCAGGACAGGGTGGTGTCCTCCTGCTGGCCCGAGGCCTGTGAGGCGGGAGCGTCCTTGCCCTTGAGGGGCTTCCTGGTCGGGGCCCTCTAGGGTGCTGGCATCAGGGGGCTGCAGGGACACCGGAGGAGGGAGGGATGATGGGTGAAGGAGGAAAGGCGGGGCCAGCAGGTGCCCTCATGTGAGCAGGGTCTGCCCGGCCCCGCCGTCACCGGGTGGCTTGGGCACGGAAGCTGAGGAGGGTGTGGGACTCACCCCACACCTAGGGAGGCAGCTAACGCCGGAGCAGGAGAGGCTGGTGTGCGTGTGGGTGGCGTGGCACCCACAGCCAGGGAAGCTCACGGGGGGTTTCACTCCGGAGGAGCCTGGTGCTGGCGACAGGGCCATTTTTGACAAGCCAGTTTCGGTGGAGGCTGAGCTTCGGGTGGAATTTGCACCTACGGCCCCTTGTAGGAGTGTGGAAGTGGGGCCCCATGGGGATCTGCATCCCGGAGGGCCAGGCAGCTGCCGCAGGCACCCATGCCCTACCCCCACCAGCACATGGCTCATGACTATCCTCTCTTGTCCCTGTACCCCTCCCCGCCCTGGCCTCCCCGCTCTCTCCGGTGGCCCGTCACTAGCCTGCAGAGGGCCCAGCTGGCAGCCTGCCTTCCGGGGAGACCAGTGCTGCCGAGGGTGCCTTTGCTGTGGCCTGGCCCAGTCAGGCGGCCGAGCCCGGGCCTGCCCAAGTAAGTGCCTGCCCAGCCCTGCCCGTCCCGGTCTCTGAGGGTGCAGGTGGAGGAAGGCCCGAGGGGGAGCACAGGGTGGACAGGCCACCAGGAGTCCCCAGGTGGGCAAGCAGGGCAAAGGGGCCCATCTGCCCCGCAGCCCCCGGCTTGGCCCACACTGGGCAGGGGGCATTCAGAGCCCCTGTGGTTAATGGTGGGCACTTTCCAGAATTTGCTCACCTGACCTTTGCTCTGACCTAAACTTCCCCTCCTTGTACAGATGAGGAAGGGGGCTCACCCCACCCTAGGGCTTGGGGTGGTGGGGCCCTGAGAGCTGGCCCAGGTCAGCCTGAGGCGGTGGGTGGTACCCCCCTTGCCTCGTGTGGGTCCCCACGTGGTGCCTGGAGCTGTGCTGCCCCTGCTCAGGAAGCAGGTGTCCAGGGTTGGGCGAGGGCTACTTGGGCCCCTGGGTAGTGTTTGGGCTGGGACAAGTGTGTGCTGCCCTCTGAGCACAGGGGCCCGCAGGCTCAGCCAGGCCCTGCCACTTGGGAGGGGCAGCTGGAAGCCAGGCATGGCCAGGTCTGGGGCTCGGATGGCAGGGCCTGTGAGGGAGGGGTGGGGACGGTGCTCAGGGGCCTGTGCCGGGCTTCTCCGCCACGCGTCACTTGCGTCACTTGTGTCTGTGCCTGTGAGCACCTCCTCTAGCTGCTCCGTGCCAGGGCCTGGCCTTTCCTCCGGGGCTCCCTGTACTCTGATGGGGCCCTGGCCAGCTAGAGGCCACCTGGGGGCTGCCCTCCCCGCCCCTTTCCTGGTCGCCGTGCCCAGTCCTGTGTCTGACCCTGCGCCGGGCATATTTGTGTTGCAGCCAATGGAGGCCCCTGAGGTAGCTGGTGGGACCCAACCTGTGGCTGGAGCCCAGGAGCGCGGGGAGACGGCAGCCGGTGAAGCAGCCTCCGTAAGATGACAGGGAGCAGGCCTGCCTTTCCCGTGGCTCCCACCCCGGGTCCTGCCTGTGCTCAGGCACTGACACCTCCCCTTCCCCTGCACTCGGGCCCTGCCCTCCCGGGACCCTGCCGTCCTTGCTGACCTGGGCTCCCTCCCCCAGACCTCTCTCCCTGCGGTCGTGGTGGAGACTTTTGCAGCCACCGTGAACGGCACCGTGGAGGGCGGCAGCGGGGCTGGGCGCTTGGACCTGCCCCCAGGCTTCATGTTCAAGGTGAGCCCCGCCGCTCAGGCTGAGCCCGGCTGGGAGGCCTGGGGCGGGATCCGCCTTGTTTGCAGGTGAGGACCCTGAGCCCAGCGGCTTGTGCAGAGCTGTCCTACCCCTACCGCCCTTCCTTCCTGCGGGCGAGGGGGCGCTCCTGGTCACCGTGTCACCCACGCCGTGCGGGCTGCAGGGGGGACGGAAGGCCTGTGAGGGAGGGGTGCTGAGCTGTCCGCCTACCTCTGCAGGTGCAGGCCCAGCACGACTACGTGGCCACCGACACGGATGAGCTGCAGCTCAAGGCCGGGGACGTGGTGCTGGTGATCCCCTTCCAGAACCCGGACGAGCAGGTGGGGCCCGGCGGGCGCGGCCAGCAGGGGGCAGCAGAGGTCCAGCAGCGGCCGCCCGCCCAGTTCCCGTCCTCGGTTCGCTGCTCCTCTCCCCCCCTGCAGACCAGCAAGAAGTGGGAAGTGTGGGGACTGGGGGCGGCCGGAGGCGGGCAGAGAGGAGAGCCAGGGTCCCGCCAGGGTCCCGGTTCCTCGCTGACGTCTTCAAACTCTGCCCTCTTGTCCCCACCTTCTCCCTCCCTCAGGCCCCACTGCCCTTTGGCATCTACAGTTCTTCCTCCCCCTCTCCCTTCCCTGCCCACCAAGGCCTCCTTCCTCCCAGTGGGGGACCAGGAGCCCGCTGCCCTGCAGGCCGCCTCCTCCAGGCTGGCCCTGGCCTGCCCACCTGGGACCACGTGCCTCTCTGCCCACAGGGACAGGGTGTGGCTTCCGGCAGGACCCTGAGCACCCTGATGCCCCCCAGATAAGGCCCAGACCCTTCTTCCGCTGGGGCTGCCCCTTGTTAGTTGGGCTGAGCCTGGTGCAGAGTGAGGCAGACCTGCCCCTGGGTCCGGACGGGCTGCCTTGTCTGGTGGCCTGGCTCCCCAGCAGGCGCCTCTGGTAGGTGTCCAGGGAGCAGGGGCTTGAGGACACCGGCTGCTTACTGAGGTCACAGTGGGCCAGGAGGCTTGAGTAGCAAGGACTTCTGGGGCCTGGTGATGAATTGGCCAGTTCTTCTAAGCCCCCAGATCTCCATTGATCTCGGGGGGCCAGCCCTGGGCCAGTGGGTTGTAAGAAGCAGAATTCCGGCCCAGGCCCAGAATGGGAGTCACTTGGGGTGGGTGGGAGTGGCTCAGGTAGGTCATTCAGGTAGGGTTTGTGACCAGGTACGTAATGACACAGAATGAAATAACAAGGTCCCCCTGCCCCCATCGCGCGGAGCCCAGCACAGGGCAGCGCTGGTCCGGCGAGCAGCCCTTGCAGGCTGCTGGCTGGGGGCTTGTTGGGTTTTGGTAGATAATCCCTGCGAGGGTCAGTATGAAAGCAAAGGCCAGATTCCAGTTGGAGGGTTTGGTGGGGCAGCCGGGGTCACTCCTGACCCTCTTCGTGGGGCAGCGCTCAGCAGGGGGCCCTGGCACCGGGTGCAGAGGTCTGGAAGGGCAGCTGGTGCCCTCCTCAGTGATGTGTGCTCTCTGGGCACTGACAGTGGGACCCTCCTCGGCCTGGGAGTCAGGGTGCAGACACGTTCAGCCCAGTGCAGCAGGCAGGCGGCCTTTCCAGAGAGGAGGACTCACCGGTGAACAGGGTGAAATCCAGTTGCTGAGGTGGAAGGCCACGGTGGGGGGCAGGTTTGGGTCTCAGGAGTAGCAGGGAAGGCTCCCTGGAGGAGGCAGTCCTGGCGGTGGGCTGGGAATGGCTGCTGGGGTGGTCAGGCCGGAGGGGCTGTCCTCCCAGCCCCGGTGGCCCATGCACTCCCTGGGGGCCCGAGGGCCCGGCTGCCGCCCCGTGACCGTGGCTGTGCCCTAGGATGAAGGCTGGCTCATGGGCATCAAGGAGAGCGACTGGAACCAGCACAAGGAGCTGCAGCGGTGCCGCGGCGTCTTCCCCGAGAACTTCACCGAGCGCGTGCAGTGAGGTGGCCGGCGCCGCTCTCCCGGCGTGCCGAGGGCGTCTTTTCCTGAAAAATGTGTGTTTCTTTTTTTTTTTTCTTCTGATTTTGTTTAAACTTTTGAAAAGCAAAGGGATATCGGGGAGAGACCTAGGCCAAGGGGTGTTCTCCCGAAGAGTGGGTTGTTTTCCACAGAGCCCGGTTTCGGCAAGCCCGGGGGCGTCCCGTGGGCCTGAAGCTGCTGTGTCCCCTAGTTGAGTTCCCGGCCACCCGATCCCGCCTGCCACACGTGTGCCCTGAGCAGGGCGGCCCAGGGCCGCCGGGCCAACACGCCTGCCTGAAGCTTCGGCGCCACCTGGGCGAGGGCCCTCTTTTCCTGGCAGCTGCTGGGGGTGGGGCCCAGCCTGTCTAGAGACCTTGGGGGCCAGATACCAGCCTGGCCTGGCCCTGCCCTGCAGACCGTCCGTGTGCTGTTTGAAAATAAATCCTAGTGTTCAAAACAAAATGAAACAAACCATTGACAACAACACAGAGGATGTGTGCTTGTTTGTTCTTTCTCCCTACTTCTGTCTGCAGTGGCACTGGATCATCTGTGGCTTTTCTACTGAGTCAGTCTGCCCCAGGCCCTCCACCCTGGGCAGGTGCCTCTGGGCAGAGGGCTTGGTGCGTGACAGTCCCCTGCCAGCTGCATGACTGCTACTTCCTTTTGAGTTCGTCTGGGCCTAGACCCAATGGACAGCTGCAGCCCCTGTCCCCTGGCATTTTTACTGGTGGGTGGTTGGAAAGACAGGGGCTCTAAGACCCAGCTCTGTGCCCGAAGTGACATTAGTTAATACACGTGAGAGCATGGGGGCCAGGTGCCAGGACTCCATTTCCCAGATGAGGAAACAGGCCCATGGAGGTCCAGTGACTTGCTGGCGAGTGGTGGGGAGGGCGCTGACTGGTTGGCCTAGGAGCCTGGCAGCCGTGAAGGGCAAGCTGGGCTGACTCAGCGTCTCTCCCTTGCTGCTGCTTCCTTCCCAGCGGCAGGGCCTGCGCACAGCCCAGGTTCTTCAGCTCCTCCGCGGACGTGGGCTGTGCTGAGCAGCATGTGGCCCACACAGCTGTGGCCTGGGTCTGTCCCAGAAGCCACAAGTTGTGCACGTGGGCCTAGAGTCCACCTGGACCTCTGGATGGGAGGGATTTGTCTCTATATAAGTCTGTACTGTGGTACACGCAGGCCAAGGGGTTGCATGTCAGAATCGTGGCTGTATTTTCGGGCACAACCCTGGGCTTCACTTCGGGTGGCAGGACTGCGGCGGCCCCGCCTCGGCCTGTGGCTGACCGTGTCGCCTCTGCCAGCGGTGACTTCTGTGAGCAGCGGGAGTTACGAGAGTGGCTCACGGGCAGCTCACTTCTCGTTACCCCTGCTCTCAGGCTCACACTTTCCCCTGCTTCCTTGAAGCCCAGGCCTGGCCAGGTGCGCTGTGCTTCTGAACCCAGGTGCGTGTGCCCTGGGGCGGGTGGGGTGTGCAGCTGCAGTGCCACCGTGAGAGTCCTCACTTTCATTTCATGATGAAGAATTTGAAGGCCTCGTGCAGGAGAACGCATCTGCCTTAGGTCTATCACAGTACGGAATCAGAGGTGGTCAGACAGTGGCTTTGTCCTGCCGTCTCAGCCCCCATCACGGGGTTGGGGCCCGCAGGGGGCTCCCCTCGACAGGTGGGAGGGAGCCAGCCAGGCAGACAGTTCCCAGAGGTAGGGATCCTGGTGCAGGGCCCCTGCTTCAGGGGGTAAGTAGCTGGCTCGAAGCCTGAGCGGGGCCGCGGTCTGGGAGCTGGGACAGGTTTGTGCCTAAGCCGAGGCTGCGGACTTCACACCGTCACCAGTCTCAGAAATGGCCAGTGCAAATTAGGGACTCCTGGTCTCCTCCCCACCTGCTGGCCTTGTGGCCGTGCACAGCAACTTGGATGCTGCCCGGCCCGCCGACTGGCCTCTTGCTCCTCACCCGTGGTCGGGTCTGGGGTCACGCTGGCATTACTTCTATTGGTTCCACCAGCCTGGAGCCTCTGGGCTCTGCCCCTGGGATCTTACATTCACACCCTTTGTCCAGCCCGCCCGCAAACACCAGGTCTGTGCTGGGACACCACGATTGAACATTCAGCAAGCCGCAGCTGGGCATCCTTAGTGCCCGATGCGGGTGGGCACTGGGGCTGCAGCGCAGGCCCCCACGGTGACCGTGGCTCCCTGTCCTCTGGGGCTTTGACGTTGGACTGGGTCCCCAGCAGTTCTGAGCTTGATGTCCGCACACAGTCCTGGGCAGTGAGACTTCCAAGGATGGGCAGGGCCTTCCCAGGAGTCTCCCAGCAGATCTTCTTTGTCTTATTGGCCTAAAGTGGGTCAGGTCCCAGGGCTGAACCAGTCCCTGCAGCCATGGGTGGGCCCCCTGGTTGGTCCAGGACTGACAAGGCCTCGAGCTGGAGGGGTCTGGGCTGGATGGGTGGGGCAGGTGGTGCACACCTGAATGGAGATTTGGGTGTGACTCCGCGGAGAAGGGATGGGTTCCAGGAGCTTCAGCCAGTGAGTGTGTAAGCCCAGGTACCTTCCAGAAAGGGAAGAGGGACCCTGAGAGCAGGACCAGACTGGGTGAGACCACCAGGAGGGGCGTGTGAGCGTGCGTGTGACCCTGGGGATCCTTGCTTGGCTGCATCCTGTCCGTGGCTGACCTCAGGGTCAGCGGGTGACCCCTACACATGTCTGCTCCTCCACCTTCCAGGAGGGTGGTTATCTGACCCCCCGCCCCCAACCTGCCCCCACTGGAGACAGTACCTGCAGGGTGTGACCTTCACCCTCCACTTGGTGCCTGTGGGCAGGGACGCGCCTGAGTCTGGGCTGGGCCAGCTTCTTGGACATTTATTCATTACCGGGCGGTCCGTTCTTCCATTCGCTCACTCACTAACATCCCCACGCGAGTGCTGAGGTCACAGAGGAGCTTCAGATGCAGCTCTGACCCCGGGTGTGTTACAGCCTGGGGGAGAGCAGACCGGAGTCGGGCCACAGCAGGGCCAGTCCTGCTGGTGCGGGCAGGTTCTGGAGACAAAGGGTCACCCCCCGAGCTTCACAAGGTACAGGGGGGGGTGTCTCTGCTGAGCCCTTATAGCTAACAGGGGCCCCTGGGAGCTGATGCCGGGGAGGCATGCATCCAGCAGAGAAGCAGGAGGGGGGATAAGCGAGCCTGGCCAGTGGGCTTGCCTGCCGGCTCCTGTCCCCCAGGGCCCTTGGGCGCCACTGCTGGCCTGTTGGAGGCCATGGCAGGCTGCTGCCAGCGATGGCGTCGGCTGGGCCCTGTTGTGCAGAGAGCAAATCTCTGAGGAAAGGCCCCTGTCAGTATAATTAGAAAAGATAATTAGTGAGCAAGGAAGCTGCCTTCCTGACAGCCCCTGACTACAGAAGAGCATCCTGACCGGCCGTGGGAGGAGGGAGAGAGGTGTTTCCCCTCCCCCAACCAGCGCAGGTCAGCGACAGCAGGAGTATGACACGGGGAGTCTTGCTAAGGGAAGGCCTGAACCCCAGGGTGGCAGAGGCCCTGCCCTCTGGTCTGCCTCCCCGCTGTTTGGCTCAAGTCCCTGAAGTGACCCGTCCTGTGTGAACTGCCCAGGGGTGGCCACGAAGGAGGCGCAGCTCTTCCCCGGGGACGACCAGCTCGTGGCGGGCCAGGGGTCAGACTAACATCCGAGGGAAGGCATCAGGGCTCTTCTGGAAGCCTGGTGCGACGCCCCATTCTCACTCTGATAGGTCTGGAGGTCGGCAGTTTCTGTTGAGCAGAGACTTGGAATGACGGGGGATGGGGAGGGGAGCTGCCTTCTGGAATGTCATCTTTCACTGTGAGCTGGCGACTCCAAATGTGTGGTTCAGGGAATATCCTCACCCGAGCCTCCGAGGGTGCATCTAACTGCCCACCTTCTCTGGATGCCACGGGCACCTCACACTTCATGTGCCTCTAAATGGCCTGACAAATGTGGGGCATCCCTTAGACCTTCCCACCCCTTCTGGGTGGACACTGCTGGGTGCCCAGCTAACCCTCACCTGCTCCTGTTACCAGGTGAGGACTGGAATTCCCCAGTTCCTGTCTTCTCAAAGGGAAGAATTCAGTCCAGAGACCCAATAGAGAGTTAAAGCAGCAAAGGTTTTTTTATTTAGCAAAATGGAAAGAAAATAGCTCCAGAGATGGAGGAGTGGCCGACCCCGAGGTGCACAGCCCCTGGCCAGGTTTCACATTGTGTGTCTTTATGGGGATTGTTTGGTTTCCTCCTCCCATTTTGTCATTCTCACAGCACCCTTTGGCTGCACCTCATTCCCTCACCTTCAGCCTCTTTGTGCAAGTTTTTGTTGGTCATTTTTCCAGTGAGCACCTAAGCGACATCCATGGCGGGGGCCAAAGTCACAAGCGGTATTACAATGATATTAGCACGGCCTCAGGGTCCTTAGGGGACAAGGTCTTCCTTAAGTGTGCAGGCTCCAAACTTGAGACTGTCCCAGTAACCTGTATCTTTTGCTGATCAGTTTGTGCTTAACTGCAAAGGGGGCGGGTCTGAGGGAGGCAGGGAGCCCCTGGGCGGGACCGGGTGGTCTGCCACCTCCCTCTGCACCTGCTCAGGTCTGACACTATGACAACACCGCCACCCAGCCCAGCCGCCTGCTCCACCTTTGCCTGCTCTGGACTGCGCCTCATAAAGTGCAAGGGCAGACTGGCTTCGTCTGTGTCCTAATGTGGGTGACGCCTGGCACCCAGGGTGCTGGGTAGGCAGAGGGGCAGGAGAGCAAGTCCCGACTGCTCAGAGCCCTCTATGGGACCTCCAGCAGTCCACGTAGAGGCCTCGAACCCAGCTTCCCCATAGTTAAGTAAGGAGATTGAAGACACAGTCAGTTGTCAGGAGATTGCTGAGCTCCGTGGAGCCAGCCACCTGTAGCGCCCTGAGGCCTGCTGCCATAGACTCAGATGTGCTGAGATATTCTCTGGAAATGCCGGCTTCCCCAGTTTGACCCCCTGTCCCCCGCCCCTGCCATTGTCCTGCCATCTGCTCATCTTTATTTTGTTCACAAGAATTTTCTGAAAGACATGAGACCCTAAGGCGGGTTACTTACTAAGATGGGTGCTCATGAGTTTTTGAGCCGACAGCTCAACCGAGTGCGAGCTGTCTTTGAGAGCGGTGCGAGTGCGTGTGCGTGTGCGTGTGCATGTACGAGTGCGTGTGCGTGTGCGTGGCCTTACTCTAACACGACCGCGGGCGCTCAGCACAGTGGTCCACGATTGCCTCCCTGGGGCGCACTGTCAGGCTGCAGGCAGCGTTGTTTGGATGCACTCCATGCTGACGGATTACCATCTTTTGTCGGGGAATTCGATTTTCGTGTAATAGGAAGAAAACAATTTCTATGTGAAAAGTTGCCTACAGTCAGAAGCTGGAACAGATGAGAGCAGGAGGAAGCAAAAAAAAACCTTGTAACAGCGTCAAAAGGTCATTGTTGGAAAAAAAATACCTTGGTTTTGAAGG